ATACAAAATAAAATATTGAACACGCTTTTGTAAAGATTCAGCGTTCCCACTTGGACACAATTGTATCCATTTGGATACATTTTTGCTTTAAAATTTAGCTTGGATACAAAGATACTTAAATCTGCTAAAATGTCGAAATTGGCTACATTTTAAAATTTTGCTGAAATATGGATACATTTCTTTCTCGAACACTAAATAAATGTTAGAAAACTTTTAAAGTGCTGTAACTTTTAAGTGCTTTATCTTCCAAAAAATTTTATTTGCTGACTAAATAAAATTTGCCCGTTTTCATACTGAATCGTTTTTACCGCATAGTTCAACAGCTACAGAACATACATTTTCTGACCTTAAATTTTAAAATGTAATAGAAATTGCGTGTGATTTCTAAAAGAATTTACTATAAATAACGAAACTCACATTGTTGAATAAAGCAAACCAATATTATTTACGAGTTTATTGGTATAAAATAAGACGATTTAGTATAATAATTCTACTTTAGGAGGCTAGATACATTTTGGATACATTTTTTTCTCGAAATTGGATACATTTTGTTTTTATTGAGTGGGAACACTTATTATATACTTACTGAGTACTAGTTTCTTACTTACAAATTTACTTACAGATCAAACGTCAAATTTTGTTTACTCTTTATTGTCAAAATAGAACCCAAGCGTCGAAAGGCAATGGATCTAGCGGAACAACAAAATCAATTGTACAGTATTTTTCATATAATATCACAGACAATGGAAACAGATGTCAAAAACAACTACAAGGATAAAATAGAAATTTAAGCTACTTTAAAACCAGCGATGAAATTTGCAGCGGTAATTTCGATGCTTAATTCTGTGCAATTCCATTTAAATATGTGTATTCTATATGATTTCTGAAATTTCGCCGCGGGAAATTCCTCTTGTTTTGTTTTTAGATTTAAATTGGTAAATAAAATTATATTATTGAATAATATGTCAAATTGATTTCAGTTTAGATCGATAGTCGCTTCTGTTTTTATAGACTTAAACATAAAAACGCTATCTCTGCTCGCTATTTAATTTCTTTATAAATCTTAAATTTTTTTAAAACTTTAATAACTTTTGTTTCTATTTTATGAATTTATATTTTCAAAATTAAATGTAAACTTCCCTTTTCTTTCACTATAATTTTACATGTAGAGTTATATATACGACATATAAATAACCTTAAAAAATTTTTAGCAATTTTTTGGTTTTTTCTTTTTATAATTTATTAAGTATATAATTTGATCCGTAAAACTCTGACCTAGACAATCTGATATTTTCAAAAGTGCTATAAATATATAGAAAACTACTTAACAACTTTGACATAAAAATAGAGAAAAAATTACAAAAAAAATTTTTCTTTTATTTGTTAAGAATATTAAGATCAATATTTTATTACGTATTCAAAGTTTTCTTTAACGCAGTAGTGATTTAAAAAGTCTTCCCGTTTAATAAAAAATGAAAGTTCTGCAAAATGATCAACCTGTCCTTAGGATATTAAAAAATTAATAAAGCAACGAGTATATTGCAGAAAACAGCAAATATATGTTCAATAAAAAGATTTACAGTTTGATCTTTTTTTGCTTATTGGTGGTCTTTATCCAAAAAAGGCACATTATTGTAGTTATTAACTGTTATAGTATTTATATAGTAAAGTTACTATGATGATTAAACTTCAATTTAAATGATATTCTGATAATGCACAGAAAATATTTTTAAAAGTTCATTTTTAAAAATAGAATCAAGCCGTAAGTTGAGTTTTGCTCAGGTTGGTAAAACCAATCTCATAAAATAGTTTTTATTGCTCGTAAAAATTCAGAATGTGCTACGACATTCTAGATATTTTAAAGATATTCTTTTTATTACAATGCAATCACTTTTATAATTTATATTTTTCAAAAAAAAAAAAATTTAATTCATAAAATTTGATTTTATGAAAAGTAGTTCAATTCATTATGGAATAAGAACGTTGCAATAAAATTCAAATATTTTTCTGTTTCTCGAGGAAATTTCCAAAAAAAAAAAAACTATTGCAAAACTAAAATAAAAAAAAAAAAAGAACAACTTAAAATTACAAAAGTAAACTCAATTGACTTCATCCAATTTTCATAGCATATCAAAGTTTTATAAATGAAAACGAGAGAAAAAAATGGTCCCATGCAGTTAGGTAGGTACATCAATATTTTAATTAATTTCGTAGCGTCTTAAATTGTATTTCCGTTAATAATACAAATTGTGACCTCTGTTGTATTATAAATCAGGTATATTATATAAAATAAAAATAACCTGTCAATTTTTAAATGAAGCTAATCATTTTAATTTCTAATTTTACAGTTTGCTCTCTGTCATTTTTAATTCTTGACAGTGTTGTTTGTGTACATATAATTATTTCCTTTTCTAGTCGAAAATTTTATTGTTGTTCATAATATAAACGTTTTTTGTTGCTTACTTGACCGACTTTACTTGAGTTTTATAAAGTGTCTAGGCAGGGAAAACAAATGTTATGCTGCTCATCTTCTATTTAACTTGGCCCTCCAACATGTTGAAAAATCCACTAATCTGCATAGCCACACTGTCTTCAACAATATTTAAAATTTTTTAAAACTACAGGTGTATACAACATACAAAGCTAAATTCAAATTATTTAATATTTCCTTGAAGCAATTCTCAACTATCAAATCAACTAGTTGATTAACTAGTCCACTAACAATCCAACGTGTTAACTATGTTTTCAACAAGTTTAGAGACTAAATTGAATAATGGATAGCCAGCATTAAATACCGTACCTGACAGCAAGTTGAATTCGATGTTAAAATTCTACGCTCTAACTTATTATTTTTAAAGTTTTTGACGTTTTCTCAAAATGCCAATCATACATTTATAACGATAAATTTGCATACCGCGATTTTTAAATTATGACGCATACGGCGTCCGTTAGCTTATGTGATTATAAAATTTTCAGTTAGGAATGAAAATTATTGGAAAATTTTTCTAATTTTCAATATTTGCATGTCATTGAAGAATCCTTTTGTTGACAATACTTACCGCATATAATTATTACATATGTTTTTTTTTTAATTTTTTTGTTACTACAATAAACTTTCAAAGAATTTTTAGTCGCTTCTTGAAAAAAAAAAGAGCGACTTTTTCCTATAATTCTTGCTACTATTTTATTTCATTTTTTTCTTACATTTTTTTTCTTTTCAGATAAAGATAAACTTTTTTTGCTATGGTGTGTTATCAGGAAAAAGTTTTTATAAAATATTTGCATAGAAAGTGCTCTCTTAACACGATATTAAAATATAAATTGAGTTTTTGTTTCTATAAAATAATAAAAAATGACAAGAAAATCACAGATTTTCATTTTTATTTTATACACCAGTTTAGAATGTAATTTCATCCCATAACTTTTTTATTTTTATAATGTTTGTATATGCAAAAAGATTACTTTAATAAAGTAAAGAGATGTTCAGATTTTTTACATGACGTCTGCGAAGTCTTGTGCTACTAGAGCAACTTTTGTAATAACTGTAGTAATAAAATTATATACTTCTTCTTCTGTTTTACAACATTTCTTTTTTTTTCGCTTTTTAGTAGACATATGGAATATTTGATTTGATAATTGGAAATATTGATTGAAAACAGTTTTTTTATATGTAAAAATTACGAGTAAATTACATGGTTTTTGTGAGTACTCGTTACAATTGTTGTTTTTATGCAACATTTTTGTTTTTAGAAATTATTGTCTATAAAACAAAAATAAAAATAAAATTGTTTTCAGTTGAAAATAGATACTGGCATTTAAGAGATTGAATTCTATAATCTCCTACGGCAGGCTAGTCACCTACCTAGTTAAACCCTATGACGCTATGAAACTAGTGCATGAGAAATCATGCACTAGCCCTATGCTCCTTCTAGGAGTGAACAAAGGAAAAAAAAAAAAAAAAAAAAAATTATATAATCTCAGTTGACTTAATTTTTAACTGAATACTAATTACTATTCGAATATACTACATTTATTTGAAACTCAACTACTTTGACATGAAACAATATGTAAATAACAACAAACGAGGTGTAGCTGAAAGTTTTCTAAATTTTACGATAATATAATTTGGTTTTAAGTTTATACGTCCCGTATAATATTTTAGCACAACTCACAAAGTTTCAATTTACAAAAATTACCAAATTCAGTAAATGATTACAAATAAAATAAAAACTTTCAAAATAAATTTTTAATTTAACTAAAACCGATTATATTTCAAAAACCAGCAATCGCTTTGTGGAAATTGTCCCATTGGAAATACATCATTGTTACATTACTTAATATATTTAGAGAAAATGCTACGTAATATAAAATGTAAAGAATTTGCGATTAATCAAAATAATAATAAAATTTCTGCAAAAATTCTGATTAAGTTGTTTTTGTGTTTAATGTTAGAATAAATATAAATGACGTGTTGAATTCAGCCAACACTGTCATATAGTAGCTATTTATATATTCCCATATTAACGTGTTTATATATTCCCATATTAACGTGTTTATATTATATTCCCATATTGACGTGATCTTAGGCCACGTCACTGTCTCATTTTCATATTATTTATTTTTAACAAGCGAATTTGATTAAAAAATTCGAAAATCTAAACTAAAAACAAATTTTATATTTATTTGCGATAACATCAGTAATTATTAATCATTTTTATCATTTTTATTTACTTTTCATTTAATAAAAAAATATTAACATTTGTATATTATTCTAAAATTTTTAACTACAAACATTTCCGCTAGAGGATTTATAGAGATAGTAGTTCCTAAAAGAAACACTGCAACAAATTAAAGCGCTGCTATAGTATTAAATTGTCAAAAATGTTTTTGACGCGCAAAAGCAGATGTAAACAAAATATGAATGATCAAGTCAACTTCAATAAAGAAAAGATTTTCATAAATCAATATGAGCCGAACCGGTGAATATTAAATAACTAAATTGAAGGTTATATTTAAATTACAAAAATTCTAAATTAAAAGTGTTTTTTTTTTTTATAAAATAAATTAGTTGAAATTAAAAGAAAAAATTGCAAGTAGAAATAAATTTATAGTTTTTAAACTTATTTAAATTGGAAGAATCGAGAAGATAAAAGAAATAAACTGAGCACTTGATTGTCTATCTGTGCAAAAGACTGTTAACATTCGTACAATTCAATTTGATATATTTAAACCAAAATAATATAGGAAAATTTTAATAAATTAAAAGAAAAATTAATCGGTAAGTTAATAAAAAATTTGTATTGATTATGTATTACGTGTAGGTTAAAATGCCTACGTGACTTTTGTCGTGATATTCTTATATTTTCAGAAAATGTACTATGCAAATTTGATTTGCATAGTACAAAATAATTTGGGAGCCAAAAATTTTGTTTGTTATACATTTTTAATAAAATTAAATTATATTACAGCAATCAATCTGATTAATATGTTACATAAAACTATAATATTATGTTAATGAAGGCGAAATTACTTATTTTTGTGGAAAAGAAAATAATTGGCGCAAATTTCAAACAATGAAAAGTGCACATTTTGTAAGAAATTAGCAAGTTACAACATGTGTTTCTGAAGGAATATCGAGGTTATTCTAGCTTTCAAAATTGTATAAAATTAATAAGATTAGTAACAAGGAAGAAAACAGATTCATAAGGAGCTTAAAAATATGTCTGATCAACCGACAAATAACAGGGTTGACAATACATATCAAATCTCAGTTTCTTTCATCTCAAAATTTTTACTGCTTAAAATTTAAGAAAAACTTATAGGTATCTTATATTTTTGTAAGTTATTTGAAACAATAGAATTTTCTAGCACAAAAACATGTGAAAATTTTCTTTGTACTTTTTTTTTTTTATAAATTTTATCCTTATCGCATAAAAAAGTTGTAAAATAATTTTGGTAGGTATGTAGTTACATACATATGTACATAGGTATATTATCCATTTTGATTTGTTTTTTACATGCTTTTTTCTAAAAAAAAATTTCTTTCCTAGTATAATTTAAAAATACCTTTGTTAGAAATATAAAAATATTCCTTACAGTTCAGTGAACTGTTAACCACCAGAATTTGCATATGTATGTAAAATCAAAATTTATAATATTAAAATAAAAAAAGAATAAGTATATATTTTTTTTTATTTTTTACACTTAAATTACTATAGAACGACGGGTAGAAAAAAAGCGATCATTTGAAACAAATAACACATATTATTCGTTGAAACTACCATTCTAATGGATCTGTAAAACACCAAGCATAAAAAACCAAAATGATGTTATCTAAAGTTATAAATTTTTTTGCCCTATTATCATTTTAAATAGTCATAGAGAATTTTTGTTCCTGTTTTATTCTCATTTTATACATGCATACTTACATTTTTTCACATTTTTAGCTTCCGGGTTGATGCACAAAATTTTTTTTCCAAAATCCAGGATCCTGTTAAAAAATTGTAATTTGATATCAAAATAAATTATTTAAGAGATGTAAATTTTATATTATATTAGCTATATAGAATCTTTCCATATAAATTATTAATAGAAATAGCAAGTCTTTGTGAGATTTAAAACAGAATAGAATAAAGAAGAGGTCGAAATGTAAGAGAATTGAATAATTTTCTTATTTAAATGAATTTTTAAATACGTCTACTATAATTAAGTTTTATTGTTAAAAAAAGATTAATTATATTGCAGTACCTTTTTTTTTATATTTCTTTTTTTGTTAAAAAGGCACGATTCTTTTATATTTGCAGTGTTTATAAAACTAATTAGGTATGTTTATGACTATACTTAATTCAGTTTTATTGTTTTCTTGCAAATTTTTATACATTAAAATAATATATCGACTTTTTATGTGGATTGAAAGTCATTGAAAGAATTAATATATTTAAAATTAATGATATGAAATTAATATTAAAATTTTTTTTAAAATTTTGCATTAATTTTATGTGACCATTAGCCGTAATTTATTATTTAGTTTATAAAAATGTAACTATATCATACAAAATTAGTTATAAATCTGTAACATTTTGATGTTTCCAAGAAATACAAAACAAAATTAAATTATAATTAAAAATATAATATTAATTCCTTTGAATTGATGAACGCGAAATTTTCATTTATTTTTTTTTTTTCACAAAATTAATATAATATTTTTCTTGTGCAATTGCTAGATATTTTCAGTTTTTACGCAATTTTTTCTTTTAAACTTGTGCAATATTTTATTTTATTTTTTTTTTTTCTTAGAATCAATATCCACACCGTGTTTTCTTGTATCTATAACAATAGTACGAGGTCATATATATTTTTTCATAGAACACGAATTTAAAATACGTGGAAATTAAAATTTTAAAAATAAATATATCTACATACATACATATATACATACAGATTTATAAAAAATAGTCTGATTAAATGATTTTAATAGGTTTAATATGCTCTTATATTTTATATTTAGGCAAAACAAATTAATCGTCTTAAAATTTGTACACATTTTACTTAATTATTATTAATAAAAATATTTTTTAAAATTTTAAAGCAATTTTTAATTGCAATTAAATATGTTTGACCCTAATACTCCGGAACTTAGTCTAATTTAAAGATTTTATTAATAAATTTAAAAAAAATAATAATCTTTAAATTCTGTCTGATACGATTTCTTTTTGCATCCATGCTTTTGAAATTTGAGAAATTTTTATTTGGGTCGAAAAAAAAATGTTTTTTTATAAGAAATGCCTATGGCACTCAGCCTTAAAAAAAGGTCTAACCTTTCAGGCAAATAATATTAATAAAATATTTTCTTTTTTTGTAAATAAAATGTCCTGGAAAAATAAAAGCGTAAAAAAGTCGAAGAAAAATCTTAAAATTGTATTTACAAAAATAAATTGGCACTAATGTAATTTGTATTCATTTATACATATATATAAATTTATATACATAGGTATATATGAATATTTTTTTTTTCTTTTTTTTTAGGTGCTTTATATTGGAGCTATTGTTTTCACATTGACTTTCTTCCCGTTCTATTTTCATTTACAATATTATTCATGAGGACACATTACTTCCATTTTTTTTGTTTTATATTTTTACTGCCTATAGCTAAGCATTTTATTTTATGATATTATGAAGAAGACAATAGAAATATTATTATAAATATATGCCAACATACATAATATTTAATTCAAGTGTATGTCAAGAGATTAAGTTTACATATTTTTAAAATATACTTATATGGAATATTGTTATATATAATAATAATGAAATTGTGAATGTGGGACATGCGTACCTATTTAAATTTCAAAATAATAAATCGATAAAATATGAAAGTGAGGATCTTCACGTTTTTGTAGCATTCAAAATAAATGCTCTAACAATGTTTTAAATAGTAAGCTTTTAAAAAAAATATGAATACAATAAAATTTCAATGTGCCCTAATATTAAAATAACTTAATGTAAATAATATTGAATTATTTACGTTTGAAAATAATGCAAAAGTAAATGTGTATTATAATTTAACAAAATGTTATAATTATTAATTTCTAAGAAAAATATAGTCTACTCTATTTCTTGGATGCATTATCAACTTTGCTACTTATAAAAATTCCAAAATAGATTTAAAATAATTTGTGTCACAAAATTTAAAGGAACAACGTTTATCAACGTTAGTGTAAAATTTCTATCTTTGCCATTATATTATTAATTTGAGGATAAAAATATTAGAATATTAAATAATAATATGAGTTTTTCCGCGTTTTATTATTTGTTAAAACTACAAATTCAAAATACATTTGTAATTTTCCAAGTTTAGTACATCAGACTTTGTAAATAGAAGATAAATTTATAGGCACTGAAGTAATTACTGAACTAATCCTAAAACTTTCCTTACCTAATTTACGCAATAACATGCTTAGTGCCAAATTTTAAGATATAAATTAAAATTAATATTAATTTATCAAAACGATTATATAATTAAAGTTTCCTTTTTTAAATTTTATTTAAATTCTCTTGAGCGATTCCAGTTTTCTTGGGAAATCTCTTAATATTTCAAATGTATTTCAAATAAAATTGTTCATTTCTTTAAAATAAAATTGACTTGAAATTGCAAAGTGCTTCGTTATTTTCTTCTTTTTTCTTTTAATAGTTATTCCTTTCTCATATAAAATAATTTCTTTAAAAATCACAATGCTTATTTTATATTTGGATGCCGCTTTCTGTATACAAAAAGCAAAAAAAAAAAAAAAAACAATACTTAAACTAAAGTAGAAAAATAAATAAACTTGGTTTCTTGAAAACGTAATCAACTAGGATCAAGTATCAATTGTATTGAAAAATAACATGAGGGAAATAGAAAAATTTTTATATCATCATCTGTTTTTGTCTGATTCACTTTAACATAAAAAATATCTTTATTGTAAAATCAAAAAATTCATTTAAAATTCAAATTTTAAATTGCTTGAAGTCGCGGAAATTCCCATGAGATTTATATTTATTTCTTTTTCCTTATTTTATGCTAGCTATTATTCCTTTATACTTTTATAAATAAATGTAGGGAATGAAATATACTTACTTACAGGCAGGGTAATGTTTATTTAGTATCTATCGATTGATATTCAATGCAATCTTGAAGAAAAAATGTTTTTATTAAAATAAAATTCTTTTTTGTATTTTTATTAACTTTTCTTTAAAAATAATTTTTGTATTGTATTTTTTAAAATTGTCCTTCTTAATTTTAAAGTTTTGTCTACACGTATTGTTTTATTTAATTGAAATAATTTATAAAAATTTGTATTAAGGTTGGGTATTTAAAGAAATTTATGTGAACGAAGATTTTAGATTTTTTCCAGTTTTAGATATTTTCACTTTTATGTATATAATTGCTTAAAGGGCTAAGAGTAAGTTAAAGTTTCAATATATACCACAATTTGGGTAATTTACAAAAGTATATTTTCTTTTAGAAGTAACCCAATTTTCGTAACCGTATCGGAACGGTGTTATTTGAACTTTCCAAATTAGACAAATAAGTGATTTTTCAATTTATTTTAATTAATAAAACGAATAAGTGTTCAAATAAGTTTTTGAAAATTTCAATAAATTTAACTAAATTTTAGATTGAAATCATTCGTTATATTAAACAATATTTTAGTGAATTTTTATTAATTTACATACAAATTAATGTAAAAATATTTAATAATTATTTTTTTTTTTTTGTTTTAGTTGTTAATTATCACATCTTGCTGTCTTAAATTAAAAGGATAAAAGATGGAAATAACTGAAAATACAAAAAATTCTAGTCTAACAGAGCAATCGCATTGCCAACAAAACAAGTCTAACATAAACAATTGTGATATAAAAATGGTAGCTGATGATAATCCACATCAAGATGTTAATGTTAAAATTGTAAAGAATCGAGATGAAGAGAAAATTAAAAATTTAAAAGAAACTATACCTGACATTAATAATATATTTAAAATACATAGGAGAATTGGTAGTGGTACATTCAGTACAGTATTTTTAGCTAGTCTAAGAAAAAAATATAATGATGAAATTGAAGATAAAGATGAATTAAGTGATAATAAAAAACGTAAATATTATGCTATAAAACATATTGTTCCAACAAGTTCACCTCAAAGAATTATTAAAGAATTAAAATGTTTAATTGATATTGGTGGTGTTGATAATGTTATTGGAGTTAGTTTATGTTTAAGACGTAATGAAAATGTAGCATTTGTTATGCCATATATTGAACATACTAATTTTCAATCATATTATAAAAAAATGTGTGTATCTGAAGTGCAATTATATATGAAAAATTTATTAATAGCTTTGAAAAGAGTACATAAATTTAATATTATTCATCGTGATGTAAAACCATATAATTTTTTATATAATCGTAAGAAGAAAGAATTTTTATTAATTGATTTTGGTTTAGCACAAAATGTTATAAGTAGAGCTGATAGAGAGGCTAGTTTATTAAAACGTAAAATCACTGATGATGGAAATTTAATTAATGGTACTTTAAATAATAATGTTGACAATAGTAATTGTAATAATAATAAAAAAATATGTCTTGATAACCAACAAAAATCACCAGAAAAAATGCCATTAAAACAATTAAATGGTCTAACAACATTAACATCAACTAATGTAATTAATCAAATTGGAAATGCTGGAAGTTTATTAACATCTAGTGAACAGACAAATAAAAATATAAAAACAAATGAATCTTCAAATAAATCAAATATTCAATTTGATAGAAGCCCTACAGGCACTCTTCAATATCCAAATAAAAAAGATAATTTGTATTTAAAATCAACAACTATAAATGATCACAAACAGCAACAAGTAAGTAGTCCAAGTTCATCAAATAATCAACAATCACAAAAAAGTTGTCATTGTTTTGGTAAACCACAAGTTTGTAAAGTTTGTTTACTTCGAAAAGAAATACCAGCATCAAGAGCTGGTACACCCGGTTACCGACCACCAGAAGTACTTTTGAAATACACTGAACAAACAACAGCTGTTGATATATGGGCAGTTGGTGTTATTTTTATATCAATATTATCTGGTGTTTATCCTTTTTTTAAAGCTCCTGATGATTTTGTGGCATTAGCTGAAGTTGTTATGTTATTTGGTGATGAAGCAATTCGTAAAACAGCATTTACATTAGGTCGTCAAATTACGATGAGCCGTAAATGTAAACCATTAAATTTACGAAGATTATGTGTAAGATTAAGAAATCGAAATAAAATTGATCATAATTTAATACAAGAGAAATATAAAAAACTTGGTAAAACTTATGAGGAATGTTCAAACTGCCAACAAATATCATATGATTGTTTATGTGAAAAAACTAAATATAAATTAGAAGATATTGGTGAAGATATATTTCCAGATAGTGCATATGATTTTTTAAGTAAATTATTAGAAATAAATCCACATAAAAGAATAACTGCCGCAAAAGCTTTAAATCATCCATTTTTAAGAGAGAAATTTGACTAAAATATTAAAAAAAAATACAATGTTTTTTTTTTCTTTTGTAATTTTCTTACATTTTAAGTAGTTATTTAAATATTCCGATTCTTTTTCAAATAATTTATACGTTATTTTATTTTTTATATTTTTATAATATTTATTTTTAAGTATGTATGTACATATGTATATTCCTAAATTTATCGCATATACAATAATATAAATTAAAATATTAGCATTAATCTCAGCTGTACTCATACCGTACTACTGCAATTTAGAAATTAAAAAAATATTTATATTTTAATTATTTACACTGATATAAAACAAATAATTTATTTGATTTGATTTTGAAGTATGTAAGTAATATAATATTGATTTTCTCATTAATATTATTATTACAATATTTATAATTCAATTAAATTTAAAATTTAAACATTTTCTATTAAATTTTTTATATTGTTCATATTATTTAGTAGCATCTTTTTTTAAATATATTAAAAGAAGCAATTTAATAATAGAAATTAAGTTATTAGTTATACATATGTATATATATTTTTTGATTGTGCTTATGAAGGAAACAGAATAGTAAATGAAATTAAAAATTTATAAATTTAAAATACAAATTTACTTTTTTTTCTGTCATTTTCAGAAAATGAAGGGATGATCGATAATTTTATATGTCCAATGTTATGCGTTTATTCTCTTAACTTAATAGCCCTGTTTGCATTGTAAATAATCTATTTTTTTCTATAAATTGGTCATTTTTTCATTCACCAATTTCAAACTCGAAAAGTTTTAGATTCAGATATTAAATAATATATAGATTTTATCCCTTTCGAAGGCAATAATGTATGTGCAATAAAAAAGACATTTTTATATTATAAGTGTTTCTTTTTTTACTATTAAAATCCTCTTACTCCAATTATGTAAATTCACCTGCATAATTTTTTTTCTCCTTTTTTAAGAGTTTTAAAGACCATATTTTTTTTTACAGAGGAAGAGAGAAAAAAAGGTTAAAAATTTTTTTAACATTATTACAATACTTATGTATTAAGGCTTGTTTTTTTTTTTTTGTATTTTTTAAATTTAAAAGAAAATTGTTCTTTTAAATGGATTCATTGAGGTTGATGATACATTTCTACCAGGTAGAATATGTAAAAATACGGATTTGATTATATTTTCCATTTTCCATTTAAGTAAAATAGAAGTGATAAGATTTAAATAGATTTTAGTCTTTTTTTATTATTATTTTGTATAGGTACGTACATTTAAGAATGACAGAAGAAAAAAAAAGTAGAATAAAAGGCTAAAATTGAAGATAGGTTTTGTTTTGTATACTTAAAATGTAAATTGTTTTTTGATCCGTTTTTATACCACAAAAATGGGAAAATCGGAAAATTTCATTACTTCTTTAATACTGTAATTTAAAGAATGTCATATATATATATTTTTTTTTTGGTTTTCATTTAATTATTTAAAAGGTAATGTAAAAAGGGGGGCATTGTTAAAAATCTTTACGAAATGTTATTTTTGGAAAATTTTGTGGTCGAATGTGATTGCTATTAGAAGAAGTGTCTATAATAAAGTAAATAAATTTTTAGAAAATCGTTCCCTATGTAAAATATAAAATTGTGTAGGATAAACAATATGGAATGGTGTGTTCTGATTAAATAATATATTGAAAATAGGTTCTGAATAGCTCTGATGATAAGTGGTTGTGATTGATTAGTTATTACTGAAATTATTTTTTAACTACATACATAATGTGTTAGTACAAAAAACAACTTATCAACTGATGTGAATGAAAAATAGTACTAAATATAGAATAAATTAAAATGGAAATATAATAACATACTAATAATGGCATTAAGATCTAATGGCATTAAGATAACAATTCTTTTAAGTTATCGCTAAAGTAACCTGCAATGAAGTTTCTGTGAAAGGAATTTATTCAAAATTAGCAGCTTTTTTTTGCAATATTTGATTAGTGATAATGTTTCTTAAAGCAAACTGGATCAATAAACAATATGAACACTGCAAAAATGTATTTTTGAATTTTAGCATGTTAAGCATTCGTAATAGAAATCTGTTAATAGAAATTTAATTTCTTTTCGATGAATATTACTAATATTTCCTATTGAAATTTTATATTATATATTGTATATACATATGCCGATTTCCTATTTGGGTACGTTTCTGTTTTTATAATATTGTATTCATGTAAAATTTATTTTTTAATCCTCATTTTTATAATAAAATTTATATATAGTTTAAAGTAGGACATAAATAACTAGAATAATTATTTATTTTTCATATAAATTTTTTTAAACTAATTTATTATTTAATTTTAATGGATGAAAACATATTTATTTTCTATATTAAAAAGATTAGATAGTATTTAAAAAGAAAAAGAAAAAAAACCAAAATTACAATTTTTAAACCATAAAATAATTTTATTTATAATTCATCATCATAAAATGCATTATACATACTTATATTTTGAAAATATTTGTTAAATAATTTCTTTATGGAACAAGTTCCCGGTTCCCTTTATAAAACAAGAATATAAAAAGCCAAAGCCGCAGTGTACCCTTCTTCTAATATCAATAAATTTATTTAGCTTGGTTGTATAATACAAATATAATTTTACAATTTTTTATATATATTTTCTAAAAATAATCATTTAAATAGGATTTATTATAAAAATATAGACATATGCTTAAATAAAAACCTATATTTAATATATTTTCTGTTTTAATATGTACATATGGAAATATTTTAAAAATTTTTTATTTATACATAAGTGTATAACACCTATGTTTTCGATTTTATCAGTTTAAATGACTGTCCAAAAAATATTTTTGGGTAGAACTTAATCTTCCTAGTTTTTATATACGTAATATTTTTTCTGATAATGTATTTGAAATAAATAGCAATAAAAGTTATGCTGTGATGGTAAACCTTTTTAAAATGTAAGCTCAAATTTCAAAATTACCATTAAAACGATATTTTTTGTTTTATTTAGCAGGTCGATAAGGTTGTTGTAACATAGTGTGAAATCAACTAATAAAAAGTTATTTGAGAAAATATTTTTTAAAATTTGACATAGTCTGAAGGTATTTGTAAGGTGATGGGATTGAAAGCAGGTAATCTAGCACAAAATAACTTGAAATTTAAAAGTGGAAAACACTTCATATTTCATCAGTATAACACTTTACATAAAATTTAGTTGGTCTTTGGCATTTAATACTCTTATATGACTTGTCTAATCTGAAATAAAGAAAGATTTTTAAATACCTTCTATAAATTTGTAAAAGACATCATTTAAAATAAGTTCAACTTCCTAATATAGTTTCAGGACATGATGTTTTCATATACTAATAGTAGTAGAAAACATTATCATATTCATGATAAAATGTTTTCTACTACTATTTTAATATAATATAAGTTTGTGTTTGATTGTATTATTTATAACTTTTCTAACTATGTGCCAACATTTATAAGCTTAAATTTTTTTTTTTTGTTTTTGTATTATACACACATTATTGTATATAAAGTAAAAGTTTAATCTGTTTATATATTTTATGAGAAAGTTTATTATTATCCGGAATTCATCCTCCTCCCCTTACATAGGTTACATATATATGATAAATTTAACATTGTATCATTATATTATAGGTCATTATATATTATATAATTGTCTTGATACATATAACGTTTAAATGCTTTATTATGTAATATATAGGATATATTATTACGTAGAAATATGTAGATAATATGGTTTGTATAAAGGAAAAAATAAACTTTCTTTTTTTCCTATTTTTATTTTTCTTAAATAATTCCCAGATGATGTGTTGAAACCATAAATTGGGATAATAAAATGGACCATGAACCGTCTGGTCTTTTCTTTCATTTTTCTGTTTTTTTCTAAAAATTTACAGGGTCGGTTACAGATAATCTTTACTATAGTAGTACAATAAATATTGTATATACGAACAAATAAAATATTAGTAAGTATAAAATTTTAATACCTTATATGTACACATTTACATACATTATGTACATATATTGTTAGTTTAGTATGATAGGTGATATAAATAAGAGTAAAGTTTTCCAAGGAGATTTAAATAAATAGTATAACAATAATAATAGAGGAAGAATAAGCAACAAGAAATGAAAGAAAATAAAAATTTTATTTAAATATTTTTTTTTTATCCTATACACTTAGACCTATATATATTTTTGGTTTAGTTTGGTTTTTGAGGATGAAACTTTGTTTTTGAATTCTATATTCTTTCCCTTACATAAGTATGTATTTATATAAATATGCATATATTTGTATTAGGTTATTGTCTATTTTAAAATGTAATTTATTGCATCATTTATTAAGAATTGCTGCATTATAATTTTAAAAATTTTAACAATTTCAATATTTTTATATTACTTAGAATCATGGGGAACAAATGATATAACAATTCTAGATAAAAATATATTTGTACATTGTTATCTATCACTTAATAACAAATTTTTTTTCGGTAAAATTTTTTATTTTTATTTAAATTTTAACTATATATAACTTAAACATTGAAGAGTTATATATGAAAGTATAACACCTATACATATAATAGAGTTTCAAGAAATTGTAATACATTTCGTAAAGATCATATATCAATACATTTTACGTATGAATTTTTTGAAATAAAAGATTTATGTTATATTTTTTGCATATACAGTAGAAGTATTAAAATATTGGAGCAATCTTCTAATTTCCCAATTAACATCGAAATTTATATTTTTTTTTTGAAAATATTTCTTGCAATTAAGAAGAGAATAAGGTATAGGCTTCGATGGCATTTTCCTAAAATTTATTATATTGTAAAAATTGCAGTTGAAATTGTGAATAACAATGTGTTCTTGAGGGCTAAATTACAGATTTTATGGTAAGAATATGTCCTTTAGCGTTTATTTAGCATGCAATTTTAATTAAATGATAAAACATTTCAAAAGTTTTATAAATTTCATGCAGTTCTAACTAGAGAACATAAATTTGAACAGAAAAATATGGATTATCAAAAGTTCTAATGGAGATTCAATAAATAT